TGGGAGTAAGCAGTGAAGTGGCTAAATTTGCGGATGATACGAAGTTATTCAGGGTGGTGAAAACCAGTGAGGATTGTTAGGCACTCCAAAAGGATTTGTCAAGGATGGGCAAGTGGGCGTCAACATGGCAAATGGGGTTCAATGTGGCCAAGTGCAAGGTGATGCACATTGGAGCCAAAAATCCTAAATATAAATACACATTGATGGGGTTTGAACTGGCAGAGACTGATCAAGAGAGAGAACTTGGAGTTGTAGTAGATAACTCACTGAAAATGTCGAGACAGTGTGTGACTGCAATAAAAAAGGCCAATGCTATTCTGGGGATTATTAGGAAGGGTATTGTAAACAGATCAGCCAATATCATAATGCCCCTATATAAATCAATGGTGTGACCTCATTTGGAATACTGTGTGCAGTTCTGGTCACCATACCTTAAAAAGGATATTATAGCTTTGGAAAAAGTGCAGAAAAGGGCAACTCGAATGATAAAAGGGTTGGAACACTTTCCCTATGAAGAAAGGTTAAAGCGCTTAGGGCTCTTTAGCTTGGAGAAACAATGACTGAGGGGTGACATGATTGAAGTTTATAAGATTATGCATGAGATAGAGCAGGTAGAGAAAGAGGTACTTTTCTCCTTTTCTCACAATACAAGAACTCATGGGCACTCAATGAAATTGCTGAGCGGTCGGGTTAGAACAGATAAAAGGAAGTACTTCTTCACCCAAAGAGTGATTAACACTTGGAATTCACTGCCACAGGAAGTCTGTCTTTTCTTGCTGAGATTTATGTACATATATATGCATGTGTGCTTATGTATGAAGCTGCCCTATAGCTCATTGGTGTGTCAGGGTCAGTACTCTCTACGCAGACTAGCAGTAGCTGTCATTTTTTTCCCAGATCACCTACTACGAGATCCTTTAAACTGGATATTCTGGGTATTGACACTTGGACGGTCTGCATGCCAAGCAATTGCTCTATCATTGATCCATTGCCCTACTCCACCGAAAAGACTTAAGAGCCACTTAAGGTGGAGGAGGCTTCTTGTATGGAGGATGCCTCCTTAGATGGTGATTGGATCTACTCCTTTATTTTATAGTGTAAAAATTTGTAATGGTTAACAGAAAGGTTTACAAAAAACTCTTTATCACGTTTTTGTTGTTATGATTCTTTTATGTGGTTTATAGTTTAAACCGGTGAAGTACTCTACTTCTAACATGGATGGCTTACTCAAAATCACCCAATTCCTGCCCCCCTCCTTTCAAGGGAACTTTGATGGAAGCATTGCATACTCAACACATACTCAACACCAAAGCGGTACCTATTTATCTACTTGCAATTTCTTGCTTTCGAAATGCTAGGTTGGCAGGAGCTGGAACCAGAAATGGGAGCTCACGCTGTCATGCAGCACTCGAGTCTCAAACTGCTGAACTATCAACCTTCCAGCCACACACACACACACACACACACACACACACACACTGTAAGCTGCCCTGAGCCTACCATGGCAGGGGGGCGGGATACATATTAAAGAAATAAATAAAAATAAATAAAATGTAATTGTTATCATCTTTGGTGAATGAGCAGCAGACCATAAATAAGAGTACAGGAACATGGTAAGAGGACAATGAAAGATGAAATTCAGAAGTAGCATGTCTGTAAGCCATGCAAGTAGTATGGACAGATTTAAAGAGGAAAGATTAAATGATTAGGCCCTGCCATCAAAGATGCATTCTTGGAATTAAATGACAAAAATGACATTTCTGTTCATAGTCGTGCTACAAAGGAGGAAGAAGCTGTAATTTTAAAGAAATCAATATTACTCGTTAAACAAATGATAATTTGCATTCTGAGTACCAGGTTCTTAGAAAAACAGACGAGTAAATAGACATAAGAATTTTTTCTCTTCTTTTTCTTGATTTTCTTTTTCTTCTCCTTCAATCTTTCAGTACTACGTGATGACTTCAGACAAAACCCTTCAGATGTCATGGTAGCTGTAAGTGAGCCAGCTGTGATGGAATGCCAACCTCCAAGAGGCCATCCTGAGCCTACAATATCATGGAAAAAGGATGGATCTCCACTGGATGACAAAGATGAAAGAATTACTGTAAGTTGGGAGGGAAAGACTGTAAAATACTGTTACAAACTTATTCATTCACATCATACAGGGGCAGATAGAACACCTACACAGCAATTTACATTTCTGAAATTAGCTGTTTAGTATACCGGGAGTCTCCATCCTTTTGTTTTGTCCACATTACCTATTTCTGCTGGCATGGAAATGGAAAGCAATATATACATGCAGTTACTTGATTCTTAACAGAGAAAATGTCCCTGTTCTTTTAAAACTCTGGGAGAAGGCAGATTCTCTCATTCTAGTTCCTGTAGTTTTCAGAAGATCCAAATCTTATCATCCACAGTGATGACTGGGGTCACTGCAATATTACTGTGGCAGATTAAACGAGAAGTGTGAAGCTGTTTCCAAATCAAGAGTTTGGAACAGAAAGGACCCTTCTCCTGAACTGGATACTGCACATTTACAGACATATCCCCTCAATCTCTTTTAAAATTTTCCTCATCTATTTGAGAAACATAAGAAAAGTCTCCTGTTAGGAAAACATATAGGGTTGGATCCAGAGGTAACCACGCATTCATATTTGAGATGGCTATGCTGTCCCATGTAGAAGCTGCATGTGTGCAGGCCAGCCACAGATATAAAACTTAATAATAATAATAATAATAATAATAATAATAATAATAATAGACATTGCTTCCCTTTCCTACCTCCATGTGAGCATGAAGGAATTGGGGACCACCTGAATTCTTTCTTTACTGCTGTGGAGAGGGTGTCTATCATTGTCGTTCCAAAGAGAAACAAAAACACATTGGCATTTTATTCTTGAGCTTCTGGACACTCTGTTTTCTGTTTGGCATGGCTCAAAAAGAGGGGGGAAATGGCTCAGATGAAATCTGGCTCTGTCTTCTGTGTTTGGGCCAAGGCCACAATATCAATAAGTGTCCAGTTTGCAAGCAATTTACACCCAAAGCAGAACATGAGACAGGGCTTCCAGGTTAAAAGCAGCCCTTCATGGAACAGTGCTTATAGGCTCCAATGAAACTCCCTGACTGCATGTCTCTGAGCCAGCTTCGGATAGATAGTCCTGAGCCTTGTCAATCCTGACCTCAGTTCCTAAGGCAGTATTTGCCTCTTAGCCCTGCCAATAAAGAAGGCAAAGCATAAATCTAAACATAGGGTCAGATAGCCTTGTGACAAGCTGAAGGCAAAGGGAGCTGAAGCTTCAGTTCCTAAGAAGGCGTTTCCTCTGTTAACTGTTCCAGAAGTATCCCCGGAAAATTTGCCAGTTCCAAAGGTCCCTTTCCCTCACTTTAGGGGCAGTGTTGATCTGACTCCCAGTGGCTTGATATCAGAAGGAGATCCTGTAAATTTTATGCCCCTTCTTGTACCTGCCAGATCTGGAAGAGCGCTTTTACAGCTATCCTGGGTGCAGTGATCACTGCTATAGCCCTATTCATGAGGAGTGTGAG